TAAATTTGTTAGTCTCTAAGGTGCCACAAGGACTCCTCATTGTTTTTGCTGATACAGACTAACATGGCTACCACTCTGACACAGGTAGTTTGTGGCACAGCAAAGAATTAAACCCTGTTCTTTTGAGTGCTAGGTTAGAATCCTAACCACTGCTCCATCACTCCCACATAAGTACATTTGTTATTTTTAACAACTCATGTTGAGGTTGAATCAGTTTCTCTTTGATTGATATTGGCTCCCCAGTTCTTGCATGTTTCCAGTAAACATGCCCAGATAGATTATTACAGATAAACAGCAAGAGTGCTATTAATCAAATGAATTACTGACTCCAGGACCAGTAAACATCCACTACAATCAGAATGATCCTGCAAATAGGTGCCAAGCCAATTCATACCACCTCAACAGCAACCCCTATAACCAGTGAAGCTGGAGCTCTGGCGGACTCCAAAGTGAATCTGTCCAATCTATGTCAGCAGGGACCAGGGTCGGATTGCATGGATCCTGTCTAAGGGAACTGGGTTTTCAATTGGAGAAACACAATTTTCAGGGAGTCAGACAGGAAACACTCTGGGGTTCTTAAAAAATCTGAACATACATATCAGCAATACCATGAGTCATATTTCCAAAACATGAAATTCTGGTCATGAAAGCCCTTGGAACATATTCCCAGTGATAAATGCAACTTTCCCCCCCTTGTTTATCACATACCTCAGGTGGAGGAGTAGGAATCATTTTCTCTCCTGGCACTGAGAGGGGAAAAAAATAGAAAAATAAGTAGGAGCCAACATGACAAAAGATTTTATAATCTCCAGCTACTAATGTTACTTGCACGTTTCTTCTGCCTTAGCATTTGTGTCCTGTCTCATGTTCCCCAGCATATCACTCACAACAGTGCATAAACACTGGCCTGACTTTTTAGAAACATAAAGCACTGAGTGTGTTACTCTCCATATAGAACAAATGGCATTTTTGCTCATGTTAACACAAAAATAGGGTTGGGCCCAAAAAACCTCAATTTAGGATTGAAATCCAGACATAGAGATGAATTTTGCAGCTGGTCCATATTTTTATAATGGACTGAAATAAACACCCGGAATGAAACACCCCTGAACTTTGGTGTGCTTGAAAATCCTGATCCAAATTTTTCATCTTGGGACCACCTCTGCTCTGACCCCCTCTAATACAAAATGTCTGATTCTACATGTACAAATGCATTTGAATCTCTCCAAACATGAGATGCTAGCCAGCCAACTGGCCTATCCAGGAAAATAAGTAGTTTGCTGCTTGCAACAGAACACACAAAAATGGGGTGTGGGATGAAGAGTGGGGGACCTCATGCCCTTTGGGGGCTATTATGGGAAGCTCTACTTTCAGGAGATAAAAGGGGATTAACCCAGGGAAGACACAGGTAGACAACGTTTAAGCACTTGAACAACTCAATACAACATTAGTCCAGGCAGGAGTCTATTAACAGTGTCTGATGGAAGCAATTGTATTATTTATTAAACTGACAAGATCAATTGGCTGCTTTATACCAGTATAAAGAGAGCTATTGTACTTTCATGTCCTTTTAAACACAGAGAATAAAGTGTTCCCTGGGGTGCTTTCATGAGCTGCCTTCGATTAAGAGTTCTTAGAACATTTGATATTGTCAGAGATCAACTTGCCAGAACCCCAACTGGATTTGCAGCTTTCACAAAAGAAATGAAGATGACAGCAATTATAATTAAAAGTAGGCTGGAGAATGAAGGACCTTTCCTGATGAGTACTTTACTTACTGTACCTAAAGGCTAGGCTGTCAAACCTGGGGGAACTGACCTGCTTTTACATCGTTGGCAAAAATGTCAGAATTGGCATCATACTATCAGTGACTGATGCCAAGATGTTATTTCTCTTCTCAAAGTGCTAATTTTGGGGAGATGTTTGTGCTGCTTTATAGAATGTCAGCAATACAAAGGAACAGAGTACTGCCTAACTCTGAGAAGTAGACAGTCCATGACATATGTCAGAGTTTACATGGAGGTGTAAATTATCAGAATAAGACTAAGTATTTCACATCCCATGTTTAAAATACAAAAGGCAATGCCTTTGCACAATATCTCCGATCTACAAAGCACTATGCAATTTGGATCCTGGCTCCTTAGCCACTGTCTTTTTCATCATGTTTTATCCCAATGGTTGAGATCAGCAACGGTGCATCAGCTAGCAAACCCTAGGTTAAAAGGTCTGGGAGCTGGTGCAACAGGGTTCTCAGTAACGGGCTTTTGACTCTGGAGTTTGTTTTCCTCCTTGGCCTGACAGAGCCTGAGTTGGCTGATATCAAGGGCATGCTGTTAAGTCTGTTATCAAACCTTTGTCAGAAGGGGTGAGATGGGAAGGGCTGAGTCTCTGTAGTATTTGGGGGGATAATTTTCTTTTCAGTTTTCATTTTGTGTCCAATCCTGCCCCCCCATGGAAGCCATTGGTAACTTTCCCAGTGACTTTAGTGGGACTAGGACTGGCTTCCTTATGTCATTTTAGATCCTGATGTATGTGATGTGATACTTTTGTGCACACACCAAGAGGTGTGTTTTATAAACTGTAAAATAATAACTAGTTATTTGGGGTGGATAAAGGCTGTTAGTTCCAACAGCATTTGCGCTGAATTTTGACAGTGCAAAAAAAAGGAACATCATTCTGGGATGTATTAGCAGGAGTGTTGTAAGCAAGACACGAGAAGTAATTCTTCTGTTCTACTCCGTGCTGATTAGGCCTCAACTGGAGTATTGTGTTCAGTTCTGGGTGCCACATTTCAGGAAAGATGTGGACAAATTGGAGAAAGTCCAGAGAAGAGCGACAAAAATGATTAAAGGTCTAGAAAACATGACCTATGAAAGAAGATTGAAAAAATTGAGTTTGTTTAGTCTGGAAAAGAAAAGACTGAGAGGGGACATGATAACAGTTTTCAAGTACATAACAGGTTGTTACAAGGAGGAGGGAGAAAAATTGTTCTTCTTACCCTCTGAGGACAGGACAAGAAGCAATGGGCTTAAATTGCAGCAAGAGAAGTTTAGGTTGGACATTAGGAAAAACTTCCTAACTGTCAGGGTGGTTAAGCGCTGGAATAAATTGCCTAGAGAGGTTGTGGAATCTTCATCATTGGAGATTTTTAAGAGCAGGTTAGACAAACACCTGTCAGAAATGGTCTAGATAATACTTAGTCCCGCCATGAGTGCAGGGGACTGGACTAGATGACCTCTAGAGGTCCCTTCCAGTCCTATGATTCTATGAAAAGAAATTTCTGTGCTGTCATGGAACTTTCTGAAAATCTGAATACCACCGTTATCCCATACTTCTAGATAACAGATCACCAGAAACGTATACCATCTACTTTGAAGCCAGAAAACTAACTTTAGGAAGCACCAAATCTATTGGGGCATAGAGACACAGGTCCCCTTCATAAAGGCCTTATTTTTCTCTATAATATCATAACTCTCAGTATACAGACCTAGCAGAATCAGAGCTTTCTTTGCAGCTCCATTCATTTCACTCCAGCTTGGCCAGCAGTTGCTGAGCTCTGGAAGATTAGACTGCTGCTTTTGCAGCACACCCTGAGAAGAGGCTGATGGCCAGACTCTGATCTCAGGTAGAGCTGAGTAAATCCAGAGTAACTCTATTAAGCTCAAATCCATGGAGCTACTCTGAATTTACCCTGTTAATAAGCTCTTTATTTTGCCCCACATCAAACCCAGTTCTCTTGTTTGCTGCTGCCAGGCTCTTACTGATAACAGAGAAAAATAAGGCCTTTTATGATGGGGCCTATTCAGCCAGGAGGTTTGACTTTCATGACCTGACTACTTTCCCCCACCCCAATCTCAGGAACAAAGGCAAACAGAGATGAATGGGAGGCTTTGCCTCTGTTCAATTATATTCCCCTTTAACCTTCTATTTCCCCTCTAATTCAAACCCTTGTGGAATACAATGGCCTGGTTTTTTGAAAGAGAAGGTACAATCAATTCATGCATGGGCCGTAGCCAATAGGGGTGGTCACAGAAGGATCCCCTGCTCCAAGCTTCATTTCTGAATGGGCAATAGGCTGTTGCCAAATAACTGAATTTTTCTGTAATATAAATATTTGTAAATGTAATCTCCAGTCTGCCTCTGCTGTATCCCCACTGAATCTAATGGGCCTCATGGTCAGTGTTCAACATCAGTGAGCCTCTGGGGTCAGTTAATATAGAAAGGTTTGTGCTTTAGAACAAAGTTTAAAAAAAAGCAGGGCCTGTGCTCCACCTTCAGGTCAGTGAAGGACATTTCATGGTAACAATGTTTCAACAAATGTTTGGCTGAAGAATTAATACAGTGCTTGGGAGGGAAAAGGCATTTGTTAGAAACTTCTAAAACACTAATCATTCTTGGTCAATGGAACAGACCATTCCTGGTTCAAAAATAGAGTGGCAAATTTACTAAACACTAGTCGTTAAATTCTGCCCCATTTATGCACCAGGCAATCGCATTGGAGACAACAGATTGTAAACCAAGAGAATTTTAGAAAGAATACATCATATTTCAACAAATCTGAGGTCCTTTAGAATTTCATAGTTGCCACATGTCCACTTCATGGCTGTCACTAGATTACACTGTGGTCATTCAGAACATCCCAGCAACAGTGGAGAAAATACAGATTTTCCTGCTCCAAAGCACAGGATCCTGCCGCCTGAGCTCGTAGAGACCCTTCTTTAGCTGTTAGCACTATAGGGTCTGACTGTAACACTGAACGATCCTATTTCCATTGTGGCAATGACTTGGGATAGGGAGCCATTAACTCGTCTAGATTTTTCAGGAAACTGCTGATATTGGGCACCTGCTCCTATCTCTTGCTTTCACTGGGAGAGCAGGAGAGCTATGTGGAGAAGGTGCTCTGGCTGCATCACTCTGGTTAGAGTTCTTGAAGGATTGCCCTAGGGCTCGAAAGGCTTGTCTATATGGGGCCTATTGTGTAATAAGAATTCCAGGTTAACTCCCTGTCTGGACATTCTTATTCTGGAATAAGTGTGTTTTATTCTGAATGAGATTAGATTCCAAAGTGGATTAAGAGTGCCTTATTCATAAATGGATGAAACCAATTCAGAATAAGGCACTCTTATTCTGCAATAAGAGCATTCACACATGTAGGAAATCAAGAATAGTTAATCCACACCCTATTTATTCTAGATTATTCCAGATTAATTTTCATGTGTAGATAAACACTTAATCAGAGAGACTCCAAGGAGTCCTCCTAAGAGTCTAACTGCCTACAGCATATTTTCCAGCTCATCCAAAACTATAGATATGTGGCTAGGCAATTTGATATATAGAGTGGAGCTATGTAGGCATTCACTCTAGCCATATGTCTATGACTGTCGGCAGTTGAGGACCATGCTTTAGGCATGTTTGCTATTGTCAGGAAGTACATTGTGGGGGAGATGAGGAAAATCAAGGAGGGGAAAAGGTTAGTGAGGAAACCCTGGGGAGCCAAAGAAAAGCAGGAGGAGGATACTTGGTAGGGGGGCAAAAGAGAAAGTGTGCAAATAAGTCACTGTATGTTCAAACATCCAAATTACATCACTGCATGATGTATAAGGCTCCAGATTTCTGGGCCTGCAGTCTTATCAGGTATGATGATATTCAACCATTTATACTATTTATTTAATTATAAAAGAATTTTAGTTCCTATAAGGTTTATCACGAGTTATTTGAGTCGTTACTGCAAAATGTCTATTGGGATGACATTGTGAAAAAGAGAATGTTAATGCCTACCATTTCAAGTGCAAACTTATAATAGAGTTGGAATATCTGACCTCACCTAGCGGAATAGCCGAATGGGCCCGGGAGGCAGTCTTGGGGTCTCTAGCCATCATGGCATTCTGATTTAAAAAAAAGAAATCAACATTTTTCATTTTTTTATAAACAAACAGGGAGATACAATACAGTAGGTTGGCCAAACTTTACTCAGCACAGGTCACAAGAGCTTCAGCACAGTAATTAATGTGTATTAAATGGGGCAGATTGTAGCTGTCTGACAATTAATACAGAGGAGATGAGATCTGTGGAGACTACAGGTTCAAGCATGTAATACTCCATCTTGAATATAGGGACACTGCACGGTTAATATGCCAAGTTTGTTAATACTAGCTACAGAATTTCTCTCTCTCCCCCAATTCTGTTGGCATGGGCAATTCTGGAAAAATCTGCGAGATAGCCTGATTCACATGAAAACGTGAATCATTTGTTTAATGAATCTGAGTTAAGATTTGTATTTAGGTCCTTCAGAAGCAAAACTTGATTCTCGTCTGAGTTATCATCTTATAGAATCACCGATTTAAAGGAGCCTTCTGTGTATTATTAATATTCATTAGTTTTCTGAATGAATACAAATATTCCGCTGTGAAACTGGAATCTAAATGTATCACTGAGCTCTCTCTCCTGCCATCCAACAGCAGTTGAGGTAAATTGGTAACATTTTTGGGAGAGCACCTATGTTTGCACAACAGGTACCTGCGTCTCTGAGGAAAATCTTTTATGTTTTGGTGTGTGTGTCTTTCTCAGACCTGCACCGTCTGAACTGGATAATTTCCCGGGCACAAGCTTCTGAATCATAATTAAAATAAGGCAAGTTTAAGAACATACTATATAAGAGCAAACTCCACAAGTAGTAGCAAGGAATATATTTAAAAAATCATATTAAATTGCTATGGGTTTTTATTAGAGATGGGCCCAATCAGAACCTGAGATCTGAACCCCTCAGTTTTGGGGACGCTCAAAATCCAGATCTGCATTTGGATTTTTGTGAGTTGAGCCCATCTGTAGTCTATTACACAACCAACTATGTTAAAAGATCATTAAGGTTGCAAAGGCAAGCACTCAAAGTTAGAATATACCGAAATTAAGGTTGTCTGTGTGACCCAATCTGGCTTCCTTGTACATTTGCATTATAATATAGTCTTCAACTGCATGATCACATACTATGGTATTTTTTCCACAGGGCCCCTGCCTCATTCAGTGCACAGAATTCATGGTGCTCATGAAGATGAGCAGTTATTTAATATTTTATGTTCTCCATAATGTTTAAAGTGTGACACTAGGACTTATTTATTGCACACTGTTCATACCCTATTTTGAGTACAGCATTATTAATTTCCTCTTGGACTTTTCTATGGCACTTATCATTAATGTATCTTAGCTACCAATTTTAGGATTGTTGTATGAACTTAATAAAAACCCTTCAGAAATAGTAATCAATGTTTATGACATGAGTCATTGTGAATGCCCCACTAATACCAACTGTAGCACTTATGGTGATGGAGAATACCTTTTCTTTGCCAGACGGAAATCTGTCGCTCTTTGAAGCTTTTTTCTTCCTTTTTTCAGAACCTTCAGAACAGGGACAACAAGAACCTGTAATGTGACTCGTTTCTGTGAGGACTGTCTGTGTGGGCATGAGTGCGTGGATCAGGAAAGAGAAAGCAGAGCTGAACTGTGCACTGAGAGCCGAAGAAGCGCTCTGTGTAAGCTCGAAAGTTTCTCTCTCACCAACAGAAGTTGGTCCAATAAAAAAGATATTACTTCACCTCACCCTCCTATCTCTCTCATATCCTGGAACCAACAAGGCTACAACAACACTGCTGAGTGAATAACAGATCTAGAAGGCATTTTTCAAATATGGGGCAAATCCTGCTCTTTACTCGTGTACGTCCTCCCACTGAAATCAGGTCTTGCATGAGTAAAGCAAGCAGAATTTGAACAATGATCATGCTCCATCTCTAATCAAGTAATTACATGTTAGTATAATAATAATTTTCCCTTTTGTTGCATCTTCCATCAGATCTCAAAACACTACCAACATGAATTAATTAATCCTCATAACACTTCATGTAAGCATTATGTATCCATTTTACAGACAGAAAAGTTGAGGCGCAGACAGTTTAAATGACTTGGCCATGGCTATCAGGGAAGTCAGTGGCAGACCCAGGAGTAGAGCTCAAGACCCTGGTCCTGCACTATTAAAGTCAATGTAAGTTTTGCCACTGATTTCAACGAGCGTAGGCTCATGCCTGGGGAGAATATCTGTAGAACTATGATATACAATAAAAGCCAACAGTAAAAGAAGACTTTTAATACCTGTTTTTTTCTTCATCTGTAAAGTCTGAGTTTTGTCTAAACAGAAATCTCTTTCTGTTAGAAGATTTGTTCTCTCCTTGTCTGCTTCTTCATTGACTTGCTGCGGTTCAGTGCTTGGGATTTGCTGTAGCGATTCTGTATCGGGGGATTCACTCTCAGTTTCAGCAACCTGAACAAAAATAAAGCAGGCAAGTGTTGGTTGTTAGGGGGAGGAAAATGCCCAATTAAAAAAACCCCTCTCTTATCCCTTATTTTTGAAACTATCAGCTTGCAACATGGCAAATCCAGTCAGTACTGATTAAGGGCAAAATCTTCCTCTCAGAACCACATTGTGGATCTTGCCTTCAGTATTCTGTGGTCTCTACCACTGTAGATCTCACTGTCAGGAGTTCCTATGCATAAGGAAAGCCCAATAAGCAAACTGAGATCTGTTATATGGAGATTAAATAAAAACATTTGCCCTAAATCCAGGCAATTAGAACAATATTCCATTAAAACAGCCTTTGGCTGCCTTTCCATAACTCTCTGCAATGCTGCTTGTAAAACCCACTGCTGTGTCATAGACTCATGCCCTTTAAGGTCAGAAGGGACCATTGTGATGATCTAGTCTGACCTCCTGCACATTGCAGGCCACAGAACCTCACCCACCCACTCCTGTAATAGACCACGAACCTCTGGCTGAGTTACTGACATCCTCAAAACATAGTTTAAATACTTCTAATTACAGGTTATTCACCATTTACATTAGTTTAAACCTGCAAGTGACCCGTGCCCCATGCTGCAGAGGAAGGCAGCCCACCCCCATCCCCAGGGTCTCTGCCAATCTGACCCGGGGAAAAATTCCTTCCTGACCCCAAATATGGCGATCAGTTAGACCGTGAGCATGTGGGCAAGACCCACCAGGCAGATACCTGGGAAAGAATTCTCTGGATAACTCAGAACCCTCCCCATATAGCTTCCTATCTCCAGCCATCGTGGATTTTTGCTACTGGCAGTCGCCGATGGGCCACATGCCATCATAGGCAGTCCCATCATACCATCTCCTCCATAAACTTATCAAGCTCAGTCTTAAAGCCGGTTAGGTTTTTTTTCCCCACTGCTCCCCTTGGAAAGCTGTTCCAGAACTTCTCCTCTGATGATTAGAAACCTTCATTTAATTTTGAGCCTAAACTTGTTGATGGACAGTTTACAGCCATTTGTTCTTGTGTCCACATTGGCACTTAACTTAAATAACTCCTCTCCCTCCCTGGCATTTATCCCTCGGATGTGTTTATAAAGAGCAATCATATTTCCTCTCAGCCTTCTTTTCATTAGGTTAAACAAGCCAAGCTCTTTGAGTCTCCTCTCAAAAGGTAGGTTTTCCATTCCTCGGATCATCCTAATAGCCCTTTTTTGCACCTGTTGCAGTTTGAATTCATCTTTCCTAAACATGGGAGACCAAAACTGCACACAGTATTCTGGATGAGGTTTCACCAGTGCCTTCTATAATGGTACAAACACTTCCCTGTCTCTACTGGAAATACCTCACCTGATGCATCCTAGCTCTACATTAGCCTTTTTCATGGCCACATCACATTGATGGCTCATAGCCATCCTGCGATCAACCAATACACCCAGGTCTTTCTCCTCCTCTGTCACTTCCAACTGGTAAGTCTCCAGCTTATAGCAAAAATTCTTGTTAGTCCCTAAATGCATGACCTTGCACTTTGCTCTATTTAATTTCATCCCATTTCTATTACTCCAGTTCACAAGATCATCTAGATCTTCTTGTGTGATATTCTGGTCCTCCTCCGCACTGGCAATACTTCACAATTTTGTGTCATCTGCAAATTTTATTAGCACACTTCCACTTTTTGTGCCAAGGTCAGAAATATAATAAGATTGGTCCCAAGACCGATCCCTGAGGAACTACACCCATAACCTCCCTCCAGCCTGACAGTTCACCTTTCAGTATGGCCTGTTGTAGTCTCCCCTTTAACCAATTTCTTATCCACCATTCAATTCTCATATTAAACCCCATCTTCTCCAATTTAACTAATAATTTCCCATGTGGAACTGTATCAAATGCCTTACTGAAATCCAGGTACATTAGATCTATCTACTGCATTTTCTTGTCTAAAAATTCAATTATCTTCTCAAAGAAGGAGATCAGGTTTGTCTGGCATGATCTACCTTTTGTAAAACCACGTTGTATTTTATACCAATTACCATTCACCTCTATGTCCTTAACTACTTTCTCTTTCAAAATTTGTTCCAATTTTTGTTCAAATTTTGAACAGTATTAACTGCATTGACTTTTATTCAGTGAAAGGGTTAGTATTTGTGGTTTTATTCCAGTGCTGTGAAGAAAAAAACCCTAAAAAACATTTATATTATTAAACTCTACCCTGCATTTGAAATGTAATCCCAGGGATTAAAATAGAAACATTCCAAATTACTTTCTGTGATAGTAAATGTACAAGGCAGTAACAGGCATTCTTGATGAGAGGCAAGTCAGGCTAAATTCCCAGGCTTAGAATTTACTTGTGCTCTGAGTTCTTCCAGCAGGTGTCCCCATAACAAGACAGAATTATGATGAATTTATTATGAACTCTAAGTATGCTAGCTGCGTGTCAGAAGGCCTGAGTTTAATCAGTGCATTTGAGAACAAACCTCAAAATGATGTTGCCAAAATAACTTGAGTCATCAGCATTTCTGCTTTCCACCTTGATAAAGGCAGGTGTTGTGTTGAAGGAAGTCACACATGACATACTGTTCGACTCTGTACAGCAGTGTGAAAATGGTTTCATACAAACCTCTTCCTCAGGCTGGGCCTCTGAACATACACTGAGTGGAGAAGAACATGGGGAGATTCCAAACTCAGGTATTTCCAAATCCACAGCCCTTGCAGGTCTGGGGCCAGGCAAGTATTTCATATCATCAGTCAGGATCATTCTTTCAGAGACTGGGAGAAAAGAGCAAAGACTGCTTTAGTTATACCTTTTGTTACTACATCCTATACACGTTAAGATAATGTTACAGGGAAGCTTTCTGACAGGCAGGAAAACAGGCCTTATTAGAGTAAGAAGGGATTTCAGGATGTTGAGAATCAGTATTTCAAAAGACAGGATGCTTAATAAATGCACCTGAGAGCATCTGGTGCTCCCCACATATTCCCTCCCTGGCCCACACAACAAACATTTTTTCCTTTTAAAGGACTTCACACACACACCCCAGCTCAGTGGCAGCTACATGGGGGGAGGGAGAGGAGGGAAGAGGAGAGGAGGCTCTTAGCCAGCTAACCTTCTCCAAACATCTAAATTCCTATTTAAGGGATGACTTGCTGCCCACTCCCCTCCATTCTGGTGCTTTACAGGAGGAGAGGGCAGTCAGAAAGCCCACTCCCCCATGAACTACCATTTGTGGGCATGTGAAAGTCAATGGGACTTGGGCTCTTAAGTGCCTAAATCACTGTTGAAAATGAGTCTTTTGAAAAATTTACCATGGGTCTAATAACAGGCAGATGTTCAGGAGCTGATGACAGCGGGATTTTATTTCCCCCCGGACCATTTTCAGAGGTGATGAGCATTT